CCGGCCTGACCCCTTTCCAGTGCATGCATCAACCAAGTCACCTACCTTCTTCAGCTTGCACCAAGGTACAAAATTCACCCCTCATTCCACGTCTCACTCCTCAAACCTTGTTCTTCCTCCTCCTCAAGATCCACCAAGCCGGAAGCACCCACTCCTCCTGAGGTTCTGAACCAGCCCTCGGTGTACCAGGTGAAGGAAATCTTAAATTTGCGGCGACAGGGTGGCCGGTTGCAATATCTAATCGACTGGAAATGATATGGACCAGAGCAGAGGTCCTGGGTGGCCCGCGACGATATATTGGATCCATCGCAAACATCCAAACCGTCCCGCACCCCGAAGTCGCGGTCGCCCTCGTGGGGTAATGTCAGGAAATCATCACAATCACTCACGTCAGCACAGTCACCTCCTCCGACACACACCAGATCCCAATCACCCGAATTCTGATCATCTGCACCTGCAATCACCAATCAAGCCCGCTATATCTTCTCACTCCACTCAGTATTCCAGTGTCCGTTCTACCATTCACTACCCGAACATTAGCAGACTCCTTACCTGCATACTTACCTGTTGTTTCCTTACCTCCAGGGGTCTATAACGTCTCCACGATCCCGATTCTCCTCAGCCCCGGTTCATCTCCAGGATTCCTGCAACAATCAGAACCCAGATTATCAAGAATCTAATAAACCAAGAACTTTCATATATCTCTCATACTCACCTGCCTTCGATCCACACCATTACAGCATTGTCAATAAACCCTTCTGTTTACCTGCACTCCTCTTGTCTCTGGCCTGTTGGTAACAATGTCACATTAAAATGCCATGCTTTAGGTTACTGTCCTGATGTCTGAAAATACAACATGAAATTTTACAGCTCAATCAGTCAAACCTGAAGGATAAGTATTATTTGTAAAGCAAACTTATGATTTGAAATTATTTGTTTCAGTCTTTTTAAATGGAACATCCCCAAACTGGAAGTGCCTCCTATAATTTAAAACTCATAGGCTTTCTGGGATAAAGGTGGATACTTTGGGATAGCTGTCCTGCTGAACAGTCCAGTGATCATCAGGTTCAGTGTCTGCACCCTCGTAACAAAACTGTTCCATCTCTATGTTTGATCATAATGATGGTGTTCTTCTGCTCATAAAACTTGCCTTTTTGCACCAGAAATGCCGCTGATCCATTAGTCCAAAAAATTCCAGTTTTGTCTCATCACTCCATAAAACATTCTTCCAGAACTCCACAGGTCTAGCCAAATTAATATTATAATATTTAAGTCTGACTTTTATTTTCTTCTTGGTTAAGAGTGGCATTTGGTACGGTGTCTCAAGTGTTATTTGTGCATGTATGTTTTTCACAATTTGTGGTTATTGTCACTTGTGTTACAACTTTAAAATAAAATAAAATAAAATAAAATATTTGTCAGGAATGAGTATACTGTATGTGGTTCTGCTCTATGTTCCACGAGCAGCTTACAGTGAGCATCAGGTGCATGTCTGATAATGAGGAGGATAGAATAGCCCCACCATCACACATGCAGAAAATAAGGCTTAAATCCATCAGCACTTATTTCCATAATGATATTACAAATATAAGACGTTCCCATTCCAAACAGTAGCATCACAAAAAAAAAAAAAAACTATCTTCTAGAGTATTCATCCAATGACATGCAAGAGATGAGATAATATGTACAGGCTTTGCTGTTGCTGCTTTTCCAATAATCTGTCATTACGAGCTCAAGCATTGAAGATGCTGGTGTGTGTGTTTCCCTGATTTTATTCAGCATTGTGGCTTGTTATGCTTTGCATCTATCTATGGTCAAATCAGAGTAAGTTTTATCTGATTGTGCTAAAACGTTAAAAGCATGTGAAATGGGTTTGGGGGTGGTATCATAGATGATTGTATTTGCTGTAACATTGCAAGTTGCATGTTACCATTGTTGCCAGCCATGTTCATTATTGTGACTAATGTGTGTATACAATGTTGTATTTTAAATTTTATGTTGTATATTTTATGCATGTTTGCACACAACAAATGTTGTCAAATTTGAGAAACAGTACTATATGGTGTGGTGTATAACTAAAAAAATTTTTAAGTGCATTCTCTTTTGTGCTAACGTCCTAAAACAGCCAATCAAGTTTGAGCAGCTAGAGTCACATATG